TTTGCCTTATATGTAGTTTTTTCATCCATAAATAAACAGAGTAAGAAGTTTCATGTTATTATTTATCTTTTACTCATTTTGCACATTGATCAAATAAAAAATTAACGAAACAGCGTCAAATTTAAATCCATCTTCTTGAATACGTTCTGAAAACACTTTATTGTTATAGAAAATTAATTCCTAGCATCGCGATCATGATCTTCACATACCTATCTACGTCTTGATGTCATCCTAATATCGTGACGCGAAAATGGGGCCCTTATAAACAACGTCGTTCGAAGGAACGACCGAAATTCCGATAACGCGCAACTTGAACAACTTCAACTTCAACTTTGGTGACGTCCGGATCGATGCTCGCTCGTTATCGACACTTTAAAACGCCCGGCGAGATATAGCCAGGTGCCGATCAATCTACGACGCCAAAAGGAGGAAAGGGGATAAAACATGTACGCTGTGAGGAAAAGGGGGCTTCAAGAAAGGGAAGGGATGGAGATGGGATGGTCCCAGTAGAATGGACTCCGCTGGTGAACGAGGGTAATGGACGAAACGACGAACTGTGACGAAATTCCCAGGCAGTTTAATGAAGCGTAGAGGAACCAGAAGAGAAGGGAAGGGGTGGGGACGTTCAAAACCCCGGGATGATATCTTGGGCCGATCAGATGTCCGAGTACGATTGATTCGATGCCGATTGGCCGTTTCGAAGTTATCGATACCGAAAGCCTCGTAATTGAGCCACCGTTACCCTGCAAGGAGGATAAAATGGGCAGAGGGACGACAGGTGAGAGACTGTGCCGCCGGTAATCGGCACTCCCGTGCACCCCCTTTCCACGAATTCCGGATAATTCTCGCGCGTCGTTCCAACATGACGCTCTAAAGCCGTCGGCGCGAAGTTACGAGCTTGCGGCTTTTACTCTTTCTCTCTCTCTCTCTCTCTCTCTCTCTCTCTCTCTCTCCCCCCCCCTCCTTCTCCCTCTCTTCCCCTCTGTTTGCCTCTGACAAGATTTGTCGAACGGAGAAAACTCCCTTTCAGAGTTGCAGTTGCCTCTCAACCCTTTAACCGTCGATACGGAAGTAGGTCCCAAGAGAAGTTGATCTGTGTAACCATCTTGTTACTAATTTGAATCGACTTGCCATCAATCGTATATACAAAGATTTGTGACAAATTTTAAACAATAAAAAGTTTTTATATTTTTGTATCAATTTTCATTCTTCGAATAACAAAAAACAATTTTGCACAGTCTTTATCTCGTTTTTACTTTTACTTTTTTTTGCTAGAATCTTGTTAATAGTGGCGAAAAGATGAAAAATTACACATTGTTGGAAGGGCTAAACACAAAGTTAAAAAGGTGTTAAAAGTATATACATCGTTAAAAGATTTGTGTTAAATTTAACAAATTTTACGTGTGAAAATGAGCCACTCAAATTTATATGTTAATAAAAATATATGTTAATTTAATACAAAATGAATATGTTAAAAGATAACACAAATATCATTTAAGAAGATAAACACAAAAAAGACAATACTAACATAGTTTGTAAACAAATGTGTGCATATTTTTTTAATAAAATTATTATTTGATATGTTAAATTAACATATATTTTATTCATTTATTTTAGAATTTATTTTAAAACATATTATTTTCTGTTATTTGTTCACTTATAAATTGTATTATATTAACACTAAAAAATGTTGAATATCAATCAATTTAATATGAAGTACTCAAACAACGTTTATGTTAAATAAACATTCGAATACATTAAAAAACTCAACACAACATGTTAACAAGGATTTAAGTGGACCATTCCAGTGCAAATATAAAAATAATTAAAATTCTTCTTGTAATAATAAAACGATGATTATTATCACAAAAATAATTTTTTACATCACATCTGCAATAAAATATCACTACGCGTCACATTGTAACGACTTGATTACCAAGTAATCGCTTAGTCAACCAATCGCACGTGCACATCCTGCAGGGAATTAAATGGAATCCTGCTTGCCAAGGAGGTATCCTCGTAGCGGTTGATGCTGCGCGCGGATTGTCCCGGGGGATAAGTGAATGGGAAAAGAGCGAGTCTCCATTCCGGCAGCGAAGTTTCTTGCCGAAGGAGTTTAGCAAGAAATCAAGCCAGCCAGACAGTGGGAAGGAGGGAAGGGAGACGTGGGATAGGAACGAGGTTGGAAGGGGTGGGCGTAAGAAACACAGAGGATACGATGCTGCAGCTTCGGTGCTGACGAAAGAGAAATCGTCTGCACTCGAGGAACCGACGTGCGGAACTTTATCACCGGAAACGATCTCCGAAATTCCGATCGACAGACGCATAGAACGAACAGAACGGAAAACTTGCGTTTATGACGAATAATTGATCGACACAACAATGAGACAATAGAGCATAAGCTTCCGAATTATAATTATTTTAAAATAATTATATTGTAGTTAATTACGCTGATTTTATTGTCGCTAATTTGCAGTGAATCGATTTAACTGAATGAGAATTGTAATTTTGTTTAGTTTAATTAATTCGATCTGATTGTTAGCGATTAACAATTACGATTACTTTTGCTTCGAAGCAACGAGTGTGTTGCCTTAATTAATTAATTTATTAATTAACTAGATTTGTGTGTACAAGGAAAATTAATTAAGGATTTTATATATACTAGTTTATAAAAAGAAAGGAGCTGTTGCAAAAGAGGAAGAAGTTTAAAAAGATTTATTATTATGATACTGCATGTAATTCGTTTTTATGACTTAAGAATATTAAAAATTGAGATTTGACTCTTATGAGTATAGAGAACACACATCCTTTCACGATCGATCAAGCTCATTCTCCGATAACCAATTGATTTATTACTTAAATAGTAACACGTGAGTATTGACAGTTCAGAGTGCTGTCAATAACGACTGCTTTCACAATTAATTGAGCAATGCCAATGTTAATCGAGTGAAATATATGCGGCTCAGTGATTAAACTAGTCCACAAATTGAGTGTTCGTGACTATAGACACCGTAATTGCGCGCTAATTTGATGTTATTATAAATTACTTTGGATATTTTTTATAAAATATTGCCACTCTCCGATCTA